CTTTTAATCTATATGCACAGAATTTTCTTCTTTCTGCAGAATTTTTCCTGGAAGATTTTTTTTTCTTGTCACAAATGTTTCATTTCTTGATTCCATATTTTTTATGCCAAGTGTATATAGCATTTTAAAATTGATCACAAAAAACGCATCATGCTTAAAGAAAGGAAGAGGAAGGAGAATAAAAAAGAACAACAGAGCAAAAACAAAGAAAAAAAAAAGATCCAGGATGTTGTATATTTATGTCCCTTGCAGCAAGAGCTAGCATTTTTATTTATTTTTGTTTTATTTACTTACTTTTTTTCTGTTTGATTTTTGATTTTTTTTTTTTGTTTTAATCCTTGTTTTTGTTTTACTTTATTTTGTTTTTGTTTTGTTTTTTTTTTATTTTATTTCCGGTTCTTTCTTTTCAAGCAAGTATGTGTAAAACTGACATTTCCTTCTTATATGATTGCAGTGAAAAGAAAGATAAATAAAAGTCAGCTTCTACAGTGGTATCATCACAAAAGAAACATATTTGAGCTTCATAACCCAATTCCACTTAATATATTAAAAAGAAACAAGCTAGTTTGATTTTTATTAAAGCAAAAAAGCACTTGCATTATTTAAGATTTGTATAGTGAATGCATAAACCTTAAGAAAATGGTACAAATAATAATAGTAATAAGAACTAAAAAAGAGATACGATCACTAATAATAAAATGTAACTGCTATCAATAATAGAAAATCATGTGGAAATATACTAATAGTACTGTTATACAAAGGAGGTGCTGAAAAGTTTGCAACCAAACCAATATCTGACCAAACATTATTTTTTTTTTGTCAGAAATATTGGTTAGGCTGATAAGTTTTCAGCATCTTTCATAATATTACTTTATAAATGGTATCAACACAAACTATAGACTCTCCAGAAAAACAAAAATCACAAAATACTTTGTGATTCCAACACCCACACTGACCATGCCATCCAAGCAGGAAGACCTAATCTAATAATTATGAATAAGAAAAACAGAATCTGCCAGATAATGAACATTGTCATATCGGTGGAACACAGATTGGACATGAAAGATAATGAGGACTTAGAGAAATTTCCAAGACCTTGACCAGGAGCTGAGAATGAATGTTAGAATTAATAGGTGCACTTGAAACTGTGGTAAAATACTGGAATTGAGGCTAGATGAACTGGAAATGTAAGGTAGGATTTAGTCTCTAAAAACCACACTGATTTGGGATTGGTGGAGGTACTGAGAATGGTGCTGGAAATTCTGAGTGAACTTGCTGTTACTCATCCTTTGTGATGACTGGTAGTCATCTGGTATGAACATACAGATATAATAACAATAATAATAATAATAATTATTATTATTATTATTATTAAGGCCCAACTATATATGGTTTAAAGGATAAAGCACAGCAAATATCAATTGTGTAGAAATAAAGATGAAACAATCAACTGCATAAATAAGCAAATGTAGCAAATTAGCTTAAAGTGAATACAAAGACTGGGTAGGAAAGGTGATTTACTGAGAATTGTGCAAGTAATTATATTTTGACTGTAATATGTAATATTGTATAAGTAAAAACCAGAATCTATAATAAAGAATGAAATATATAGTGTCCTCTGGGAGTTTGAAATTCAAATGGATCACAATACAAGAAGATCTGATCCACATGTATCTGAAGGAGAGTGAATAGATGGATAAGTATCTTGATTCTCACAGTGTTCCAAGTTAGTTGCTGAACATGAAGGTGACAATCATGCCTGTAGTTGTCAGCACACTGGGAACAGTTCCAAATAACCTAGGAATAATGCTGGAGTAACTAGAAATCAGAAGAAAAGATGAGACCATCCAGATAACAGAATTGCCACAAGCAGATAAAATACAAAGAAGATTATTGCAGTATTGAGAACAGATACTGCCATGTAATCTTCAGTGTAAACATCTAGTTACTAATTATATGAACACTCAGTGAGGAAATAATATTAATTTTAATAATAATAATAATTGGGGTCTATAACACCAAACTTATAGCCCTATATTAAGAAAATCACAATAAAGCCTAGTATACTATCACTTCAAAAGTTTGCATTATTGGGCTCTCCAAATATTCCATAGGAGGTGTTTTCTAGCTGAGGACTATGACTTGATGGAGAACACTCATAATAAAATATCTAGGGTTGAAAATGAAAAACTATACAGAAGAAGAAAACAATAATAATAATAATAGTATTATTAAACAAAAAGATTGACATAACACTTCCAGTATTTTTCAACACTTAAGAGAAAAGCAAAATTTAAGAAAAAAAGAAAAAACACAGTGTTTGAAAATGTTCAACAATATTTTGACAACATTTTTTAAAAATAACTTGAAGAAGACAAACATACTGTCGAAATACTGTTGAAAATGTTTCAAACTCTTTTCTTTTTCATTTCTTAAATCGGGCTCTTCTCTTAAGTGTATTATTATTATCATTATTTTTATTTTTATTTTCTTTGATTTCCAGCATTTACACATTTCTTTCCGGGTCTCGCCCAGGGACCTAAGGTTAGAAATGGCATCATGACACTTTCCACTGACAAAAAAAAAAAAAATATTACATAGATAAAGCCCTTCGTCAGAACAATTTTTTGTATCTCCTTGAGGCATGAACTTCCAGGAATCCCTTCAATTAGTTTACTGCAATCTTTTCCAACCAGTCCTAGGGCTCCAACTACAACAGGATTATTATCATTGTTATTATTATCATTATTATTATTATTTATGATATCACCTTGCCAGAGAGTAAATTTAAGTGCCTATTACCAAGTTCCCTTTCAAGCTCTATGAGTAAAAAGGCACTGTATGAGAGTTATTTATGCACATTTGGGATGTTTGTTTAGATGGAGAGAGTTTTGTGTATGTGAAGTTCCACACAAATTAATCTTTTGTAGCTCTGAGATACTGATGTGTCCAGGAATTTTACTCACATGATTTTCAGTAACCTTGTTTATTATACCCGATGCCCCTGTCATATCAGCAATATACATATTTTATTATTATTATTATTATAAGCTTGTGCAATTCTCTTCTGGCTTCTTGCTATCTAGGCAACTTTGATCTTCAAAAATTTAAATGCAATGTCAATCATTATCATATCTTCTTAATTCCTGTTCTTTTATTGTTCTTCTCCTTAATAATGTTTTTTATTTATCATATTCTTTCATACTCAGTAATCTTCTGTGTCTTAGTGACTTTATTGTCTTGCTTGGGGTGAGATGATTAAAGAAAAAAACAAAAAAATTTTCTTTTGAAAGATAAAATAGAAAAAACTGATCATGATGCCTTTTAGATAAAAGGATAGAACAAAAGGAAAAATCCCATGAGCCATTCAAGTTTGAACCCTCAAGGCTTTGGAAGTCAATGAAGATTACAGTTGTAGTGATCTTGGTAGCAGCAGCAGCTCTAAAATAAAATTAATATCAGGAGTAGCTCTAAAATAAAACTTATCAGCAACAGCTCTCAAAAATATAAAAAACACATGAACCTTAAAGAAACTCTATTTTCCAGGTTTCCTTCTTTTGAACTGTTGACATGAACTTTCCATGCTGAAGCTACAAAGGCTGTGAATGCTTCACACTGAAACATGCCAACAAAGTAAGTTCCCACTATAAAATATTAATAAACATTTCATTGTGTATACAATTTACATCTAAGTAAAGAAACTCTTGATTTAAACTTTCTTTTTGTTAATTTTGTTTTAGAGTTGCTACTATCTTTAAGGTCACTACACAGTCACAGTATTTGTCATGTGTATATTTGGTACAGTTCCTGACAGAATGGAAACATGGACAAAAAAATGTCATAGATTGCTCCATGCAACTGTTACAGAAAGTAATTCTCTTAGACACGACAAGAATAATGTGGAAATAGATGGACACTTAGAGTCAGTGGAAAATTGTATAATATGTAAGATTGTTGGTTGTGATCTACTATCCATGTATTAATGACCAGATATTAAGCTCTTATCTGAGAAAATACTGAAATTTTGTTTGATTTTCTAATATGGAATTATCAGTATAATTTGACTTATTCAAACTATTGTTATCAACTTTTATTGTATTAGAAGTTATCATGACATTTCAATCAAACACCTCTGGACATGGAAGAAGAAATCCATATTCATTTGAAATACAAAAGATTGCGTCCATGAGTACAATTCACATACTTAGAAAAAACATTTTCAATAATTTCTTTAAAAAAAACCATGTTCCACTCAGACAGCTTCTTCCTTAGAACTGTAGAAAGAGGATGCTTCCCTGGTCATTTCAATTGTAACCTCTTTAATTTGAGGGTAAATCTATCTTACATATTCTCATAATATGGAATCCTTACAAGATCCCCATTCTGTAGCCTCTACCTAGAATAACAGTTAGGCCTCGTATTGGCTGAAAAATAGTAAAAAATATTATCTCAGGTCTCAGGTGAAAGAACATGCAAATGATTATATCAAACAACAAGTTCCCAAAAATTATACTCACTGATCTAAAAATTGATAGATTGAAATAAAGTGAAAAACTGGATAAATATCCTAGACCTTGGAAGTGACAGAAAAAATTGTGGAACTTGTTAGTGACAGTGATTCCTATCATTATTGGAGCACTTAGAATTGTCCTAAAGAGCCTTAAAAAAGCCTGAAAGAACTGGTAATCCAAGGAAGAGTGCAGACTATTCAAATGGAAGTATTAGTTTGATTGATTTGTTTTTTAAGGCTTATCAACCTTTTTAAGGTTATTTAAAGCCAAAACATATTTTTTTGGATTATCAGAATTTTTTGAAGATAACAATGATTTTCTGATACACGTCCTACTAATTAATCCATAGCTGTGAGGAGAAGATGGATTCATTCTTTTTCCAAGTGTATTTGCATGTAAGTAAATATAATGAACCCAACTGGAATTTGAACTTGACTTTCCAACTTTTCATTCTGTGCCATTATCTATTGCACTACTTGCACATCCAAGATTACAGCATCTGGTATTCTCAAGTGCTTACCCATCTAGATACTGACCAGGCTCAATGTTGCTTAACTTTGGTGATTGGACAAGAACCGGTGTTTCAACATGGGAAGTATTACTGAAAACAGCTATAATATTAAAGAGAGTACTGAATTATAGAGGAGACTTGCTGCCACTTAATCACCAGTGAAACCTACCAGTTACTATGTCTGCAAATACTGGATAATAAAAACAAGAAGAAACATTGAAAAATAGAAACATCATCAAAATGAGATAGATAGAAAAATGGTGGGTAATTGAATGACAAAATGGAAAAACACTTCTATGATACACTACAACAGAGTGAAATCTATGAATAAATAGAGATGAATAGAGAGCAAGTAGTAAGAACAAATGTATTAAAAGATTGAGATGAAGATGCTTTGATAATATTTCTTGACAAAATCTATCTTGCATATTTATAAGTCTACTATTCATTCATGTATCAAATACTGCTACCACATTTTGTCTGGTGCTTCTGCTATGTGTTTAGAGATTCTTGACAAAATCCAAAGAAGAATTTGCAGTGTTATCAGTTTTGAGCTGGCATTTCAGCTTCAACCACTTTCTTTATCTCTTCTATAAATATTCTCATGGTAATTGTTCTGATGAGCTTTCTTTGTTGGCACTTCAACTTTACAAATTTAAGTGCAGTACTAGATTGGCAGCTAGGTATCATAATTGCACTATTGAAATTGCTAGTTGTAACCATAAGTTCAATGCTAATAGTTTCTTCTCTCACACTTCTTGCTTGTGGAACTCACCTCTGGCTTCCTGCTTTCCTGTCAACTTCAATCTTCAAAAATTAAAATGCAATGTCAATTGTCATCTTCTATCTCCTTCAATCCTGTTCTTTTATTGTCCTTTCTGTTTCTTTCATTTTCAGTAAACCTGGCATCTTAGTAGCTTTATCATCTTGCTTGGTATGAAATGATTGAAAAAAGAAAAGACAGTCAAATGTGAAAACAGAATAGAATGGAAAGAGGATGAAAAGAATAAAGAGACTGAGATGGGTAAAGAAGATAAAAAATGGAGAGACTGAAAGAGATAGAGAATGAAAACTATGGATAGACTTTGATAAAGCATTCAGAGTATGATTGGAAAATTTGATGAAGGAAAATATTGCAGAGTTGAAAAATTGAACTATCTGGTATTTGATATATTGTATTTAAATGATAATTGATATTTAAAAGGTTGTTCAGCTTCTTTTACAATATAGATGAAAGAAATAAAAAAACATTCATAAATAGTGATACTAATATTTTTTTAATCCATATATTTTAGCAGATAAATAAAGTTATTTAATCTAAAATATATTTTAGTAAATTAATCCATAAAGAAAAATTTACTTTTAATTTAAGATGAAATTTTGAAATATTTTCAGTTGAATAAATAATATTAAAAGATTATATGATTTAAATTGACTCAACACTCAGCCTTAAAATTACAGAAATATTTGTGAATTACTGATTTTTACAAACATTTCAGTAAATATCAAAACCAACTGAAAAAATATTACTGAATGGGGAACACTAATTAACACTTAAATCTAACACACTTACATTTAAGAGATATATTAATACAGTTGTTTAATGTCTAATCATAAATCAGATTTAAGTAATATGTTGTCTATTGAATTTTAACATTACAAAAATGATCTTAAAAAAGGAATATGTGCCATTTGAAAAATATTTTATTGATAAATTCACATAATGAAATTTAAAATCTCGAGGGTGTCCTGTAGAAGTTAAACAAATTAATCCCTGTAAAGAATATCCCAACAATGAATTTTCCTTGAACAGTGAAGAGAGTGAAAAAAAATTAAAATGGACAGAAAGTAAAATGTATGAACAGACTGAGGTGAATATTGAGGGAAATGTATGGAGAAAAAGAGATGAATGGTGAGGGAAACATACAAACAGACTATGATGAATAGTGAGTGGATATGGGAATAGAATGAAGTGAGAAGTGAGGGAAATGTCTGAAAATAAAGAGATGAATAGTGAAATGAATGGTGAGGGAAATGCAGGAACAGACTGAAATGAATGGTGAGGGAAATGCAGGAACAGACTGAAATGAATGGTGAGGGAAATGCAGGAACAGACTGAAATGAATGGTGAGGGAAATGCAGGAACAGAGTGAGATGAATGGTGAGGGAAATGCAGGAACAGACTGAAATGAATGGTGAGGGAAATGCAGGAACAGACTGAAATGAATGGTGAGGGAAATGCAGGAACAGAGTGAGATGAATGGTGAGGGAAATGCAGGAACAGACTGGAAATGAATGGTGAGGGAAATGCAGGAACAGACTGAAATGAATGGTGAGGGAAATGCAGGAACAGAGTGAGATGAATGGTGAGGGAAATGCAGGAACAGACTGAAATGAATGATGAGGGAAATGCAGGAACAGACTGAAATGAATGGTGAGGGAAATGCAGGAACAGACTGAAATGAATGGTGAGGGAAATGCAGGAACAGACTGAAATGAATGGTGAGGGAAATGCAGGAACAGACTGAAATGAATGGTGAGGGAAATGTATGAATAGAAAGAGATGAATAGTGAAATGAATGGTGAGGGAAATGCAGGAACAGACTGAAATGAATAATGAGGAAAATGTATGAATAGAAAGAGATGAATAATGAGGAAAATGTATGAATAGAAAGAGATGAATGGTGAGGGAAATGTATGAATAGAAAGAGATGAATAGTGAGGGAAATGTATGAATAGAAAGAGATGAATAGTGAGGGAAATGTAGGAACAGACTGAAATGAATGGTGAGGGAAATGCAGGAACAGACTGAAATGAATGGTGAGGGAAATGCAGGAACAGAGTGAGATGAATAATGAGGAAAATGTATGAATAGAAAGAGATGAATAATGAGGAAAATGTATGAATAGAAAGAGATGAATAGTGAGGGAAATGTATGAATAGAAAGAGATGAATAATGAGGAAAATGTATGAATAGAAAGAGATGAATAGTGAGGGAAATGTATGAATAGAAAGAGATGAATAGTGAGGGAAATGTATGAATAGAAAGAGATGAATGGTGAGGGAAATGCAGGAACAGACTGAAATGAATGGTGAGGGAAATGCAGGAACAGACTGAAATGAATGGTGAGGGAAATGCAGGAACAGACTGAAATGAATGGTGAGGGAAATGCAGGAACAGAGTGAGATGAATAATGAGGAAAATGTATGAATAGAAAGAGATGAATAATGAGGAAAATGTATGAATAGAAAGAGATGAATAGTGAGGGAAATGTATGAATAGAAAGAGATGAATAGTGAGGGAAATGTAGGAACAGACTGAAATGAATGGTGAGGGAAATGCAGGAACAGACTGAAATGAATGGTGAGGGAAATGCAGGAACAGACTGAAATGAATGGTGAGGGAAATGCAGGAACAGAGTGAGATGAATAATGAGGAAAATGTATGAATAGAAAGAGATGAATAATGAGGAAAATGTATGAATAGAAAGAGATGAATAGTGAGGGAAATGTATGAATAGAAAGAGATGAATAGTGAGGGAAATGTAGGAACAGACTGAAATGAATGGTGAGGAAATGCAGGAACAGACTGAAATGAATGGTGAGGGAAATGCAGGAACAGACTGAAATGAATGGTGAGGGAAATGCAGGAACAGAGTGAGATGAATAATGAGGAAAATGTATGAATAGAAAGAGATGAATAGTGAGGGAAATGTAGGAACAGACTGAAGTGAATAGTAAAAGAAATCTAGGAACAGACAGAGATGACTAGAGAGTGAAAAGTAATAAATTGTCTGAAAGGGAGAAATTAATGCAAAATTATATCTTTTGCTGAGTTCTATGATATTTAGTTTGTTATAAAAAAAAATTATTTACATGAATTTAAAAATGTCAGATTAATTAAAATATTTGTGTTTATTCATAATGTCAAAAACAATCTCTATTAAGAACAAAGCTGAGATGAAAAATATTAAAAAAAAAAATCAACACTGAATATAACTGTCATTAATCATTTTGTTTTCTTATTTTTTCTAAAATCAGAAAATACCAATTTCTCTTTTAGTCACAATATGCAAAATTTCATTATAATCAATATTTGAAATAGTTTTATAAAAATAAGCTAATAAAATTAACAATCTGCTGACATTTAAAAACAAACTAATGAAGTAAAATGCAACATTTTCGATGACATATTTTCTATTGGCCAATATTGTAAATAAAAAATTCAAATTGCTGAAGATATGTATTATTCACAAGTAGTTTTTATTTTGATAAAACTTTCTCTCATGCTTTATCTTTACAAGAGTCAGACCAGAAATTAAATAATGCTGCTATATTTGGGCTGAAGCTGCTCAATCTTTACTTTCCAGCCATGATAAAGTTCAAAACCATTTACACAATCTCAGAGGTGAAGATTTATTTTGAAGATGACAACCACAGACGCAATGTCGCAAGACTGTCACTACTCTATTGTTATTTCAATGACAAATGTTCAGATAAGCTCTACACTTTAGCTCCATCAGATCACACCTTTGCAGCTAGGACATGCTATTCTGCTTCCACAGAATCAATTCACTCTTATTTTCCCTCTGTTCCAAATGTAAGAAGGAAGTTCAACTCACACTGCTTTTTTCCTCCAAGAACTGGTACATTGTGGAAAAGATTCCTGTACGAATGCTTGTCTGAACACTTTAATCTTGATCTTTTCAAATCAAGGATCAGTCATTATCTATCCTCCTTATCTTCTTCATAATCTCTATATCCTATCAATATCTTTTCTATTCATATCACACACCTCATTCATCATTACCATTTTGACTGTAATCCTCTTCTTTGAGTAGCTTTCAAGCCTTGTATTGGGTGAAAATTAACAAATAGCTCAATTAGGATTCATTTAAACACATATGGAAACCTACCAAACTCTATCCACAATTTATTCATAGAAAATACAAATATGATAGCCTCATCCACATGTGAAAAAATAGTTAAAAATAATGAAAGTGTTAATAAAGGAAAAGCCAACACACAATAACATCAACTATGAACATAGCCACAATGCACTGACCATGTTTGGAAAATAATAATAATAAAACAAAATTAAAAAAAACCCATTCCTGTCATTCCTTGAACATATAGGAAAAGTTATGCATTCAGTTAAAAAATTAAAATGAAAAAAAACTTCCTTGAAAATGGCTAATAGAATAGCCAAAAATGCTCAGATATTATAGATTATTATTATTTGGACAGTTTTTACACACCCTATGACCAGAAAATCACTTATATGAACACAAGAAAAATTGAGTAAAAAGCTTAATTGCAGTACCTTGTCAGTTGCCTTTAATGAAACTTTTGAATGTACATATATATATATATATATATATATATATATATATATATATATATATATTAAACACATGGAAACCTATCAAACCATAGAGAATAAAATATAATAGCTTCATCCACTTATAAATAAGATTAAAAATAATGGAAGCACTAATAATAAAAAAGAAAAGGCAACAGTCAATAAGATCAAATATGAATACAGCAACAATGTGCTGACCATGTTTGGAAAATAAAAAAAAAAAAACATTCCTATAACGTTAAATACATACATAAAAAAATCCATACATTCAGTTAAAAATAAAAATAAAAATCATCCTTGGATAATTTTTACACACTTTATGTCTAGAAAAGAAATCACTTATATACACAAGAAAAGTTAAATAAAAAGCTGAACTGAGAAGCCTTGTCAGTCACCTTTAATGAAATTTGTATAAAAGAGGGGTTGCTGTCCAAATATAATATATATATATATATATATATATATATATATATATATATAAAAAATATATATATATATATATATATATATATATATATATACATATATAAATATATATATATAACATATATATAACAAACATATGTATATATAACAAACATATATATCTATGTATATATATATATATATATATATAACAAACATATATATAACATATATATAACATATATATATAAATATATATATATAACATATATATAACAAACATATATATCATATATATATATAACAAATATATATATATATATATATATATATATATATATATATATATCTATATATATAACAAACATATATATATATATAACATATATATATAAAATATATATATATATAACATATATATAACAAACATATATATATATATATATATATATAACAAACATATATATATATATAACAAATATATATATATATATATATATATAACAAACAAATATATATATACATATATATATATATAACAAACATGTATATATATATATATATATATATATATATATATATATATACATTTTTTTAAAGACAATTGACAAGCATTGCAATTAAGTGTTTTATTTAATTTTTCTTGTGTTTGTACAAGTGTTTTCTTTTCTGGACACAAAGTGTGTAAAAACTATCCAGAAGTTCTGCATGTCCAAGCGCTTTCGGCTATTCTTTTAGCCATTATTAAGGGCAATTTTTATTTTCTATTTTTAACTAAATGTGTGGGGTTTTCATCTATACGTCTAAAGTTATAGGAATGTTTTATTTTCTGAACACTGTCAGCACATTGTGGCTGTGTTCATAGTTAATGTTATTGACCATTAGCTTTTTCTTTTTTAACATAAGAGCTTCTGTTATTTTTAATCTTTTTTTCACATGTGGATGAGGCTATTATACTTGTAGATAGGCACAGTGGTGTAATGGATAGTGGCTCAGATTAAGGAATTGGAGATCTGAGTTTAAATTCCAGTCAGATCTATTACATTCACTTACGTGCTAATATCCTTGGGAAAAGGTATGAATCCTCTTCTTCTCCCCTTCACCCAGCTATGAGTAAATAGAAGGACATTTGTTTAATAGCAATAGTCCCAATGTGGGAGTGAAGTTTTGCTTGAAATTTGTAAAATCTTTCTACTAAAAGATTTTTCCAGACAATAAAACATTATTTTCTCCTCAAGTTACATCATGTGCTATTCATTTTAGCTGTTGAAAGTCCTCAAGTGATGTGGTTTCTGTTATTTGGTTGAGTTCATCATGATTTTTCAGCACCAGTCCACAAAGTTCAAAGAAGGATGGTTCATGCTAAGACCTGCAGTCTTCATCCACCTAAAGCTATTTTTAATCATTGATTTGAAGAAGTGGGTTTATATATTTGACAGTTTAGATATTTTTGAATAGGTTTTGTTCTATGCCTAGCATCCATTAAATAAGGATATTTAAAAACATGACTTGAGTTTTCAGGCTAATGTTTTGGCTTTGCAGTAATTTATGGTGTTAGGTGAAACTACCCCTCACACAGCCTATTGTATGTTGAGTTTCCTTATCTCTTATTCTAAACTTCTTAAGGTATTTGAAGCATTTAGTATTTACTAATTCCAGATCCTGAAATTTTATAATGGATTTAGGGTGCCACCACTCTTTTCATTCCAATTTCAGATCATAGTTTCTGTTTTAGAATTGTTTATCCTCTTTCTTGGAACTCCTGGTAGAGGATAAGTGAAGATATGAGTACTTGCAACAAGGTTAACAAACTAGTTTCCTAATTTATTTAATATTCAATAAGAAATAATGAACAAAACTCCAGTAAAGAAAATGACGTCAGAGGCTTCTTCTTGCCATGTTGCTTTCTGACAGCTATAAAACAATAGACTGAGAATTGCAATAGAAAGCAAGTGAAATAAAGATGAAAAAATACTAGTTGAAAAATCTTTTGTTTCTCAAAAAATATTTAATTTAAGTATGAAGTTAAGAAAAAATAATTCAAGTAATAAGAAAGAAAATTTACCCTGAATATTTGTGTAGCATGATCAAAACTTATGCTATTATTAAAAGACTAAAAAAAAAAGATTGGAAATATGAGATTAGGCAAAAAAAAATGACCTGAAGCATCAAACAAGAAAAAACAACAGATGACGATCTTAAGCTAACAAACTGCTAAATAATTTAAATTTACTTTTTGCCAAAAGATGTTTCAAAAAGAATTTGAAATATGAGCGAGAAAAATAGCTCTAAGCTATAAAAAAATGTTAAGAAAATTAATCTTTACAAATTAATAAGTATCTAAAATCTTCTTTTAAGCTAAAAGATTTTTTTAACAAAACATTTTTCATATTCATCTACAAAAAAAGTTAAGGATGTCATCCCCCAAAACATTGCATCACAAGAATTGATGTGTCTATGAAAACTGTTTTGGTTTCAATATCTATTATAATATATCAGTTAGAATTAATACAAGTAAAAGGTTTGTCACTTAACTGATTGATGTTAACTTCATCATTCCGACTCCAAAGTTTGTAGACAAATCTATCTGTCCACTCATTAGGGGGTATCAACAGTTGGTTTTTATATAATATATAAATTATATAAAAACCAAATACTCAGAGACACCTGAAATATTCTTGGTCACATAATGTGTAAGGAGGGATTGGAAGACATATCAAAGGAAAATTAGAAGCATGAGTGTGAGGCAGGAGACCACCTACTTGTCAAGCTTGTATGAATGGATGGTAGAAAAGGGGTGGGGTGAGGATGAAAAGAGAGGCAATACTAAGAGCTACAAAAGGTAGGAAGTTTTGGAGAGCCATTATCACCCATGTTTTGGTTACAGCACATAGGAGAGTAGATCTAATAAATAAAATGTATATATCTAATATATAAGTCCAGAAAAAAAAAGCATTAACCAAAAAATAAGGCTGTTGGTTTAAACAATTTAAAATCTAATTTTTTATCAATTTTTTTTAAAAAGACATGCGACTACGTATTGGTTAGGATAAAATCGCCTTCAAAAGATGTGGATGTTAGCCAGACTAAACTGCTAAATAACTCAAATCTACTTTGTAAGTACATCAGTTTACATCAAGTAACAGTCAAAGTTGATCACCGGTGCATTGTTGACTGGTGCATACAAAATTATATTTGCTGCCGCAAATCAAGTTAGCACCCGGTTTCTTCAATAAACCTTCCTTATTTCATAGTATGATCTTGCATGGAATGTTCTCAATCTGATTTGAATTACTCACTTGCTGATTTATTGTTTATTGACATGAAGGTTTGATAGAGTGATACTAGTGTGATTGTCTTCTTGTGGTTTATTAGACATAAGTGATTTCATTGACTTATGGCTTAGATTGAGTAAAATGGCCCTGATGGCATTCTGAGATTTATCAATACCTTCTACCATCTTGTAAATAATCTACATGATCCAATCATGAAATTGTTAGTGCTAATTTTCTTTTCAGGCATATAGTACCTTTATTATGAAACAGGTTTTGTTCTTAGCTATGTATACATATCTTTCTTTCTTTGAATGTGGATGAAAATCTCTAAAGGTGGATGAGAAGCGTTTCAGAGGGTGCAAAGGATATAATGTTCTAAAACAGAGATCAACAATCTTTTTGCTCCTGCAATCCAGATCATATATAAATGAGTAGGCAGTGAGCCCAATATGTCTTTTATGTGCTTTGTCCTCACAGGATGTGGGAAATCATGGCTCTCTACAACTTTTCCTGTCCTTTAAAACTCTTAAAAATGTTTGATTTTTTTTTTACTCTCTTTCCCTATCCCTGATCTGACATCCATTTACATAAGCTTGTTAGGTAATTTATTTGCTATTTACCTCTAACCTTCTTGACTTTATTATGTCCTGTGAGTGTCAAATTCTCCAAACCCTCTTACCTTATTATGTGTCTCAAAAATTTCAATTCTGTTTTTCTGATTCTAAATAAAAGTATCCTTTTAGTCTCCATTTTCCTTAAAACATCCTTGCATGCTCCAAACATATGAAAGAAGATTTGTACATTTTCTTTATTCTGAGAACTGACAACAAAGATATCAAACACTATTCATTTGACTGATTATTTACAAGAATAATTTTATATTTACAAGATTATAAAAACATGTGAACTAACTATAATGAAATATTTATTACTTGCCATTTTATAAATAAATAAATAGGAAAAGAATTTTTTTTTATTCATTAATTTTTTATAAAAAGTCTATTAAGAAAATTTAAATAAATTTGTAATGATGAATAACTAATTATAAATTTTGAAAAAATACAATTTCTGTCATTTCTTTTATTTGTTCTCACCACATAAATTCCCGAAAATTTGTTGAGAGCATCTCTTTCTCTAAGCTAAACATTCTTTTAATTTTAGAGTTTAGGCGAAACTATAGACACGCAATATTTTGAATGTGCATCTCCCAATTCATTGGGTGGACAAAGCTCCTCTTCTGTATTATTAATTGCAGAATGTCTGCAATTTTTACTGCAAATGTTGCATTGTAGTTGGTTTACATATTTTGTAATTTTTTATAAATTTTTGAATAAAAATATTTCTTTTCAAATTTATATCTTTATAAAAGGTAAATAATAAATGTCACATTGTACTTGGTTCCCATATTTTTATAATCTTGTAAATAAATATTGCCGAGGGAGCCAAAAGTGTATACAGTAATAGCAGTGTAAAGAAAATAACCATCCTTTTGTTGCATATTTTTTATTTGCGAGTGCAAAGGTTACATTGCCAAAAAATTGATATTACATGGCAATTCAGTACTTTTTCTTTGGTTCTAATGAAATTTTCCTTTTTTGTAATACTTTGGTTAGCTTTTGAAAGGCATCTTTTACTATTTCAGTGTCACATTTTCTGTCATTTGTTAAAACATTTTCCAAATAGTTGAATTTGTGTACTTGCTTGATTTTGATATTTCCAATTTGCAGCTCACATTTTTGGCTGTTCCTCTTGCTGACAACTGTACATTCTGTCTTACAATTGATAGCTTGTTCAATAAATACCATAAAAAGCTTGAAGTATAGAAATTATTCATTTAAGTATATCTAGTTTTATTTTATGAATAATGAGGATAAAATCATTTGTGCTTACCCAAGCATAACAATTAGTAATCAAAGGATTTAATTTATATATAATTCATTTCAATCAAGGAATCTTTTGAAGACACAATGAATCTTTCAAAACATAAAATGCACAAATATAATTCATTGAATGGTTGTAAATTAAGTATAATTACCTGATTTTTAATGCAATCAATCAATAAGATTGTTTTTGTTTTGTTTTTTTATTAAGAAAAACAAATAAAACTTGGATTAGTGTAACAAGACACTATGCATAATCCATCAATGTGATCATGTGAAACATTTACAGAAAGGAAAAATGAAATCTGGATTAGTGTAACAAGACATCATGCATAATCCATCAATGTGGCCATGTGAAAAATTCAGAATAAGGAAAAATTATTGAATGTGATGAACAAGCACAATATTCCAGTATTTGCTTGCAAGCCAGTTAAAATCCCTTTGCAGACCAGATATAGTCTCCAGGCTATAGGTTGCTTACCCATGATCTGAAGAAAGACTTTAAAGCTTTCAAGTAAGGATATGCAATATTTTATCAAAAGTAAAAGTTCCATTCTGATTCAGTTATATAATATCTACATTATTCAAAAGTTATGATAAAGCTAATATCTAATAAAGAAATTATTTTTTTTTTAAAATTGAGTAGCATCAAAGGCTTTGAGAATCAAAGAAATTTGAGAATTTTTCTAATCTTTTTAATACTATGTTCTTTCAGGAGGTAGACAATCAAGGTTCTTTATAGATTCCTTTATTTAGTATGTATGCATCATATCATCAGTAAGCATATATGTTAATGATACCATCGATTAATGAAGCACCTCCAAAAATCAAGATGTTCAGAATCTTGCAGCTGATCTCTCTTCTGACCACACTTTAACAGCTCAATGGAGAAAAACAGGCTTGTAACTTTCAATGCCATTAAAACCAAGCTAGTATCATTTTATCAACACAAATTAGGTCCTGAGCTTTCTTCCATCTTAATGAATGGTTGCATTCTCAATGATGCTCTATACATTGAATATTGATTGGAACTCAAGTTATATAATATCTATATTATTCAAAATTTATGATAAAGCTAAAATCTAATAAAGAAATAATGCTCTATGCTTTGAATATTAATTGGAACTCAAATTATTTCCCACCTTGTGAAATTCATATATATGATACATTGCTAAAGATGTTGGAAAAATGGTCATCTCATTCTGCCACTGAAGGAAGTACCTGACTCCTGCCATTAGTCTAATTTGGTCTTTCTGCCATTGGTCTAAATTGGTGTTTCTGCCACTGGTCTAAATTGGTCTTCTGCCATTTGGTATAATCTGACTCTTGTAAATATCTTCTGCCATTTGGTATAATCTGACTCTTGTAAATATTTGGTCTGGAGCTGCTCAAACCACACATTCCAGGTTTGATATTTATTTACATAGTCTTGTGATCTTGTGGTGAATGTAGTTTTTTTCTACTCAACAGCCTCTTTTGGCAGATGCAACATTGCAAGTATATCACTATTTCTATGTCAAATATTCAGATGAGCTCCACTCTTTATTTCCACCAGTTTAGACTCACCATGCTACACCCACATAGTTGAATCACCCACATTTTCTCCATACTCCAAATATAAGGGAAAAGTTACACTCAAATAGCTTTTTTCTAGAGAACTGCTACTTTGAGGAACAAACTCTCACATAGATGATTCCATGAACACTACAATTTTAATCTTTTAAATTCAAGGACCAGTTGATAGCTATCCTGCTTATCCCTATAATCTTCACTTCCTTCTATGTCTTACATTTTATATCACACACTTCATTCAGTAAGCCTCTACCATGAGTGGCTCTTGAGCCATGAATTAGGTAAAATTTATTTTTAGGAAAATGATTTGTCATGATTTCTTGAGAAAGACAGTGGAGAAGATTGCCATTGCTTTCTC